TAAATATTTTTTTTTTTTTTTTTTTTTTTTTTTTTTCTAAAAATTATTAACATGAAATTATATTTTCATTTTTTTTTAATTGTTGTTAGTCACTAAAGCTGTAGAAAAACATCTAAGAGAAGATTATGGGGGTAAAAAAATGAATAATTTACAAAAAAATAATGTATATATGGAATATTTAATATATGACTATTATTTAATGTACTCTATTTATTACATAATTATTATTTTTAATTAACTGTATATATATATGTATTATTTTTTTAAATTAGATAGAGATGTTGCCATTTTTAGGTTTAAGATAAAAAAAAAAAATAACAAAAAATAAAAAAAGCTCGTTAAAAAAATTTCTTAATATACTTTTAGGGAAATCTTAAGAAATTACAAAAACAAGTAAGGAGTTAGTAATAAAATTTCTAAAAAAATTATATGAAAGAAAATACTAAGGAATTTTTAAATTATGAATTTGCACATTTAAATAAAAAAGAAAAAATTAAAATTTTCATACAAACTCAAAAATATATTTGTAAACATTTCAAATGAGTTCAGTGATGTACTTTTGAGTCCTTCTGAAGAAGAAAACTTAAAAGTAAATAAAAGAGATTTCTGCCTTTTTATAATATATATATATTATTCCATTTAATTTATTTAAATTACATAAGCCTGTTGCGTTTGAAAAAATATAATTTCTTTTATTTTTGTTGTCTACGCATACATATATATTTTTTAAGGCTTCAATGAAAAAATATGCAGGATCACATTTTATTGAAGAATATGAAAACTTAATGGATGAAGTAACACTTTACTTTTTAATATAAATTCAACTTAAAATAATTTTGCATTTTTTTATTTAACTATTTTTATAATAATTATCGAAAATTATGTTTCTATTTTTATTTTTCTAAGAAAACAGTAGATTCAAAAAGAACACTAGCAAAATCAATGATAAATTTAATTAAACAGCAGTTTATTAAATTAAAAGAAATAGAAGCACAATATGTTACACCTAATTTTGAACAATTTAAACAAGTTACAGAATTAAAACCTGAAATTTCAGTAATTTCCTTTTAATAAATTTTATTTTTTTTTGTTGATATATTTTTTTATAATTTTTTATTTATACTAAATTTATCATTTTTTAATATGTTTTTCCATATTTTGATTTGCTTATCTTTTATAATCTATAAGGATCTAAGAGCAGGTTTGAATCGTATTTGAAATAAATCATTAAATATTTCTTACAAAAAAACAAAATTGAAATTACTTATATTGAAAATATGCCTAATAAATATAATATTAATAATTTAAACATTATAAAAATAAAAAGACAAAATTATATAAAATAACAATAAAAAAAAGAAAAAAAAAGAAACTATTAATTTTTGTTATAATGAATAATTATTATAAAAATGTATTATAAAATAAAGCATTTCTTATAAAAGAGCCTATTTTTTTTAATTTTCTTTCAAATAGATACACCGTGTAGCACAGATGCCGAATGTAAAAAATTGGAAGTAATATATTTTTTTTTTTCTTATTAAATTTAAATGATTTTATTTACTAAAGATCTTATTTTATTATTTATTTTTTTTTTTTTTATTCCATGTATTATTGTCTTATATAGAATATGATGAATATATGCACTTATATTAGAGGAGGGGCTGATTTTGCTTATGATATATTTTTAGTAACAACACATGTTGTTACTAGTATGATGGCTGTATTATGTGCTTGTATTTTTATTGGACCTGTACATATATGCGCTTTGAAAAATTTTCCGGTTAATAAAAAAAAAAAAAAAATAAAAAAATAAATTGCGTGATCATAATCTAAAAATTGTGTACATTATATAATTAAAATAAATGTTTTATATATTAAAAATAAAAATTTTTATAAAAAAATTATTTCATTTAACTCTTTAAAATTATGAACAATAAAAATTTTGTATTAATTATCTTTATTTATTATTGCTTGTTAATATTTTTTTTTAGTATACATGTAAATTACCCTATCCTGTTTTTTCAACTTTATTTATGGCAACCTCAGCAGTATGGGAAGTGGTAATTTCAATAATTATAAAAAAAAAAAAAAAAAAAAAAAAAAACCAAAATATATATTGTGCATACAATAAAATAGGAAATATCATGTGTTATAATTTAAAATAAATAGGGAAATTATAATAAATATATACAAAACATAAATATTAGTAAAAGTAATAAATAATAGACATTTTTTTTTCTTAGGTAAAAGCTACTACTGCATTATGTAGAGTATATGGAGGTATTAATAAAAAAAAAACTAAATGAAAATTAATTAAAAAAAGGAAGAAAAATAACTTTAAAAAATATAAATAAAAGCTTTTGAATTTAAAATGAATTTATACATATAAATGTTCATCACTTTATAAAATACATTGTTTTCTATTTTTTCCATAGATTTGTCAGTTATGTCAAAAATGTCTTGAAGATAATTTTTTTTTTCTTGTATTTGTTTGTATTTTTTTTTTTTTTTTTTTTTTTTTTTTTTTTTTTTTTTTTTTTTTTTTTTTTTTTATCTTTTTTTTGTCTAATATTCTTAAATGAATTAGATAAGAAAATTTTTTATTCTGAAAATAACTTATTTTGATAAAGCAAAGGTCATTTCAGAAACTTTAATGACAACATTTCCGTTCACATAACCGACACCTCTCAATTTAGCTATTCCAAGAGATGGTTTAAATGAAATTTGTTCTACTTCCATCACTAATGTATCACCTAAATAAAAAAATATATATAAAAATAAACAATAAATAATGTAACTTTCAAATATCAATAAAAATTTTTTTCTTTTCTAATATTGTTATTTAAATTCATAAACATTTATATATCTATTATATATTCAAATTTATAAAATTTCATAAATTTTTTTTCTAAAACAGTAATAAATGTACATAGGAAATTGTATTTTTTATTCTTAATAACTAAAGTATTTATATATGTATTTAAAATATTGATTTTTATTTTATATATATATATATATATATATTTTAAATTTTATAATGATTTATATGTATATTTAGTAATACAATTTTTAAATTGCATATAACCTGGTAAAACAGGTTTCTTCCATCTAACACCATCCACCCCTGCAAACAAAAATAAATTATTTTTTTGATTTTCTTCACTTTTCAAACATAGTACTCCTCCTAATTGAGCTAAAGCCTCAATCTGTAAAACACCAGGCATAATTGGCTTTTCAGGAAAATGACCATTAAAAAAATTTTCATTTACAGAAACTTGCTTAACACCAATTATTTTTTTATTTGGTTCTATATGTAACACTTTATCTACTAAAAGAAAGGGATATCTGTGTGGAAGAGTATTTTTTATATCTTCTATATCAATAGTTTTATAATCAGAATAAGACAACTTAGATGAAATGTATTCTCCAGTTAAGTTATCATTTTTTGTTTCATTACTTAAGTATATATTTTTTTTATATTTTTTAAAATATGCATTTTTGTTGTAGTTTTTTGACGAGGGAGATAAATAAAAAAGCTCGTTCTTTTTAATATCTAAGCTTAATATAGGGGATATAACAATTATAAAAATAAAAAATAAATTCATTATTTTATTTGTAATAAGAAATATGTAATGTTAGGAAATTAATTTTTTTATATAAACTAAAGTCGTGCATAAAAAAAAAAAAAAAAAAAAAGGTACTTGTTTTTTAATAAAATATACACATAAATTTAAGTTTCATTTCTGAAAATTTTTTTAAATGTGTTTGTTTTTTTTCCTTTTATTTCCTAAAAATATAACATTCATTAGGTTATAGTATTATCTCAATTTATAATATGAAACATTATAAAATCATATAAGCATTATACTTTTTTTACAGTATTAATTTTATAAATTATTATTAAGTATTCTAATTAATATATAAGAAATAATTTTTCTTTTTTTTTTTTTTTTATTGATATGTTTTCCTATAAATTATTATTTTTTATAATAGTAATATAAAAATTTTTTTCGATTTAAAAAAGCTTATCATACATATACACTTATATGAGCATATATATATTCATAATAAAAGTAAAATTTACATTAAAAGTTGTATACATAGAAGAATGAAAAAGGAATAAAAAAAAAAAAAAAAATTAAATGCAAAAAGTAATTTTATTTATCTATACAAAAAATGCACTGAAAAAAAAAAAAAAAAAATATATTTGAAATCAATTATTTAAAAAAGTAGGAAATGTGTATTTTTTTTCAAGGTAACAAATGGAATTTAAACTTTTTAGATGTAAAAACCCTTTTGCGTTTTTAAAAAGAAAATTAATAGAAATTGCTAAATTTATATAAGTGATAAATAGAAAACTTTTTTTTGCAACAATGAAATTATTAATACGAATAAGTTGTTGCATTCGTATGTTGGAAATATATTTCTTCTAGTATTTTTTTTTTTTAATAAATTATAATTCGATTTTATGTTTTTTCAAATATTTACTATATAAACTCTTCTAAAAGAGGTCTTTTTAATATATTTATCATTTTTTACATTTTAAGAATTGAAAAAATTTTTTTTTTGAAATAAATATTTTTAAAATAAAACATTATAAATTTTTCTTTTTATTGTTTAATTATAAATAAAAAATATAAAAACTAATGCACATAATTTTATTTATATAAGGAAAAAAAAAAAAAAAAAAAATTATTCATCTTTTTCTACAGTGGTAACTTCTGATACATAAATACCATCAAGAAATTTACGAATATCCTTATTTCTGCATAAAGTGGATTGATGTATTAAGGCTGCTGTTAATGAAACATTTTCAATATCAGCACCACTAATGTAAATTTCATCCTTTACATTTGGTGATTTTTCTATAAGAACACCTGGCAATGCTTTAACAGATCTAACACTTTTTTCTCCTAAATAATTTCTTATTTCAATTCTCTTATTATCATCAACAATATTAGAGTTGATTGGAAAATGGGCATGAACTAATCTCATTTTATATAAAAATTTTTTAGTTACACCTGTAAACATATTTTTCAAATGAGTACAAACTGTTCTAATACAAGCTAAACTATCGGGGATACCAAACCACATAACTACTTTTATATATTTTTTTAATTTATTTATACGAATATCAACTGGGAGATGTCTGAAATTTCTTCTAAGTGTACCATATTTACCTGATACTGTTACTTTTCTTGAATTTATTGCTACCTTAACTAAAAAAAAAAAGAAAATATATATATTATTATTATCAATTACTGTTCTATATATATAAATATATATACATGCATATATTCATAGTATTATTATTTGCCATTTTTCATCATAATATTTTCATATTTTTTTTTTTTTTTATCATTCAGTTATTTTCATTATCATATTTTTTGCTATAAAATTATATTCCATTTATATTTATATTTTAAAATATTTGCAAATATTTTTAATGCTTATTGTTTTAGTGTAGTTACAGTACTACTTAAATTTATTGAATAAATTATTTTCTATAATTTTTTACTATATATCAGTATTTTGTTTAAATATTATGTTAATAATTTTCTAATCTTCATATACATTTTTTTATTTGCCAATTTCATTATTTTATTTTTAACTGTTCATCAGTATGTGTTCAAAATTTTAATATTAATATATAAACATATATATTTTTTAATTTCCTTTTTTTTTTTTTTTTATATTTTTTTACCTCCATCAGGAATAGCGACTTTTTGTGATGATACTATTGTTTTCATTTTTATTAATTATTAAACTTTAAAAGTAAATAATTTGGTAAATAAATAACAGTAATATACTTTTCACGAAATTTTAAATCTTTTTTTTTTTTTTTTTTCCTTATTTAATTTTATTACTTTTTATTATTTTTTTTTTTTTTTTTTTTTTTTTTTTTTCT